AAAACCCTACATTTATCAGCAATTAACCCCACATTCCTCCCATCCCAACTCCCTGGCAATCATTAACTCCTTTCAATCAATTTTATATGTATGAGATTCATTTATAACAGGGCCAACAAACTTTTCTATAAAGTGAGAAGACAAACATTAATGGCTTATGGCTACAAGGTCTCTATTGCAACTACTCAGCTTTGCCTAGTAACAGCCATAAATTTAATGCATAAACAAATGTGACTGTATTCCAACAAAATTTTAATTCTAAAAACAGGCAACTGGGAGGTCATAGTTTTACCTGTGGTGTTTTGTTCTGAACTATACCTTCATTTCTGTTGTTAGAGATGTCATTTTATGAATATATCACAATATTTTTTTGGGGGATGGCTTTTTGAGAAAGGGTTTCACTATACAGATCAGGCTGGCCTGGAATTTACTTTGTAGCCCAGCCTGGCCTTGAACTTGTAGCAATCCTGCTGCCTCATCCTTAGTGCTGGAATTGCAGGCATCCACCATCATGCCTGGCCAAATATAACACAATTTATTAATTCGCTCTACTATTCTTAGATGTTTTGGTGTTTCCAACTTGCACTACCTATTGCTATAAATATTCCTGTACACATCTTCTGGCGCACATATGGGTCATTTCTGTTGGAACTGCTGAGTCTCTCTTACATTATGACTTACTGATTCTGTTTAAGCCATGAGGCAACCTAGGTATGTATGATGAAAGAAAACATTCTCTCAGGCTTTCACAGAGAGCAAATTGGTCAAGCAATGGCCATGATTTATCCTCATGGCTGACACTGACAAAGGATCTACAAACTGCTGTACAGGGTTTCAGGGTAAATCCTGAGGGGATTTGACTGACCCTGTCAGATACAAAAGTTACGTTTTTTGTTATATAGGTCTTATTTTATCTCGGTCTTAACCATCCAGCAGAAAAGAATAAAAATGAGGTATAAAAAGTAAAGCCATATTAATGTGCTGAGCTGTAGAAGGCTCAAGTCAATAACTTCTGACACTGCCAGTCATGAGATAACCCACTACTATTATAGACTACTGGACTATATTGGATTTCTTTGCTGAATTCATGCTCCTACAATACATGAATGGCAATGGAATACCCATCTCTGACAAAAGTAAACAAAAAAAGAGATCTATAAATGAAGGACTATTTTGCAGTGAATAGATAGATAGATAGATAGATAGATAGATAGATACAAATATATATGTATCTGTATATACAAAATAGGATACAGCTACTTTCTCTTAGTTCAATGAGAAGAACGTTTTGAACTAAGTGTTTAGAGAAGATATGCCTGCATCTTGTACTATGAATAAGTACTACAAAGACAACAATATACAATGTATTAATTATTGTAACTGTTCTACTAACCTGTTTTGAAACTGTCTCATTGCTACTTCTTTCTCAATAAAATTCATATAAAAAAAGGTATGTATGATGGTGGAAAAATAGAATGACAACTAGTAACCTACTTATTTCCTACTTTGTACCAGCAGCTATATTTCACAGAAATAATCTCATTTAATCTCTACACAATTCTATCAAAGTGGGATTTCATAATAAGGAAATTGAAGCTTATATAAGGTCACAAAGTTAAATAATACTTGCTCCAAAGCTCATCCTTTCTCCCTCAGATGCACACCACACAGAAGGGAAAATAGAAAAGAATCCAACCTTAATTACTGTTGAACAGAATAAAAGCAGACAGAAGCTCAGGTTTTATAATTTATAAAATGTAACAGTTCTACTGCAACACATTCATTCACAGATGGTTGGTCTTCCCAACATACAAATGTCTAAATGACTCAATGATCTACACCAGTCTCAAGAAGCTTAAATTCTTATTCTGTGAGCTTTGTATTAAAGCTCATTCTAATTTTTAACTATATAAGATTAATTTAGAAATTCTAAATCAATGTATTCAATGTATATCTCAATTATTAGATTGTGATGATTAGAACAACTAACTTATATGCAAGTTTCCCTTCAAATCTAGCTTGTATTTATCCAAATTTTTTAGTACCAGGAAACTCAGAACCTTGTGCTTGTTGTGCCACTGAGCTGTATCCCTGGTACTCTAGTTTATCTTTAAATTAATATACTTGTTTTTAATTAAACTACTGTTCTGTTTTTGAAAAGAGCAAAATCTCTCTAGCATGCCAAATAGCCTGAGCTCACAAAGCTAATATTTATTTCACATTGAACATTAGAAACTACAGTCCATTTTAGTCAATCTGAGTATTGTTTCTGCAGGGCAGCCGGTCTACATCTAAGGTGGTGACTGCAGATCTTACCTTGCCGTCTGTGGTGGTATTGATCCTGTAGTGATATACACGTCCTTCGTACCTGAGCGAGATGGACAGCTGCCCGGGGCTACTCTCACTTTCTCGCACCAGGAAGCTGCCATTGATTAGGCTGCTTAGCAGATACTCCGCTGCACTGCGTGACACTGGTCCGTGGTACCAGGAATGTTTTTCCAGGCTATTCACTGGGGTGATGTAGTTGCTTGGCACCCAACCCTGTCCATTCTTAGAGCGAACTTCACTCCATTCACCATTCTGGTTGTAACCAAGGACTCGAAGCTTTTCACCTAGCCATGAAGTCATCATAGAATAAAAGGAAAGATGTTAAGCTTTTATTTCAAATGGATGAAGTGTAATTCCAAACTATAAACTCATTGAATCAAAGATTTTTATGTCCCAATTTTATTTTATTTTTTTATCCTTTTTAGACAGGGTCTTGCTATGCCATTCAGGCTGGTCTTGAGCTCACTTTGTAGCCCAGGCTGGTCTTGGACTCCCAATAATCCTCTTGCCTCAGCCTCCCAAGTGCTAGGATTACAGGCATCCATCACACACCCAGCCCCAATTTTTTTAAATGATGAAAAAAAAATTTATCCTCATTGATCTCTTTACTTAGAAGCTTTAAACTGCATGAATATAGTCAGAAATGGCTTTCTAGTACTTACAGGGTTTTTTTAAAATGTCCTCAGAAAAATGTTTGGCATACAAAGACTACTGAACTGACTAGAAAACAGTAGTGCTATAAAATAAACGGTCTCTCAAAATAGCTTATATGAGGCTGGGTGTGATGGCACATACCTGTAATGCCAGCCCTTGAGAGGCTGTAGCAGGGGGATTGCCACGAGTTCGAGGCCAGTCTGGGCTACAAAGTAAGTTCAAAGCTAGCCTGAACTACATGGCAAGACCTTGCCTCAAAAAAAAAAAAAAAAAAAAAAAAAGAAGCTTATATGGTTCAGTGTTAAAAATAGTCAAGAATTAGTGATATGTGAAACACAAAGTTACTTCTAAATGCACCTTGCAGCCAGGCATGGTGGCACGTGTCTGTAATCCTAGCAGGCCTGTAATTGGGAGGCCGAGGCAGGAGGATCAAGGCCAGCTTAGGCTACATAGTAAGTTCAAGGCCAGTGTGAATAACATAGCGAGACCCTGCCTCAAAACAACAACACCCCCCCCCCCAAGAAAGTAATCTCCCAACAAAAACAAAAGCCCTGGAACTGCTAACAAAACTATCACTATAAACAAACAAAACCATAGACAAAAGTTTCAATAAATGTTTTCAGCAAGAGAAGTGTCCAGTGGAGCAAAGGGTGGGCAGTAAGGACTCCCAAAAGTATCATTTCCAGGACTCAGTTTTAAAATAGTTACAGTTCACAATAGAGTATGTTTTCCCTGCTCAATTTCCAAAGAATGAATCACTCCCACCCATTCCTCTAAAATTAGCTTGTGGAAAGGGAAGCTGACTCTCAAGTTGGAGTCCAAATCCAACTGTATCTTTGATGTCAACTTCAGTGTCCTTGGTTTGTCTACTAAAGTTGTGAATATCAAGTTTATACTTCAATATACATTTTGCCCTGATATTTGTGTACTGATTGGAAGCTTCTCAGCAAAACGAAGAAGGTGAAAGAGGTATCACTAGAAACACATAATGTTAATCGAAGGAGCCTTGTGATGCCTTGGCTCTTATCTCCAAGAGATGCAAATCTTCCTATGAGTTCACACCATTTCCTCAGAGTCAGAAAGCAAAAGAAAGCCAAATAAATCAGAATTAGAAGTTACCAGCAAAGACTACAGAGGAAAAATTCAATCTTGGTAGTCATTTATCTTTTTCTAATGGCTATGGGAATGTTTTCCATAGAATTACTTTCTATCATCCCTGCTTATATCTCATCTGAGATGTCTGGATACTAGAAAAACACAAAAATGCATATGTATACACATATGTGTATATAAACACATACACTATATATAGCAGTATATGTGGATATGTGTGTTTGTGTGTGTAGTCTACCAACTATATTTATGGAAAAGAAAAAGGAACTTTGCTAGAAAAATGAAAATAAACTTGTTGCTCTATAGCTTTTCTGTATTAATCTGTAAGGACTAAAAGTAAAGACCAAGTTTGTGAACGCATTTTTCTATATTGCTACGTCCTTAAACACAATTGATAATTATAGGCTAACATAGACAGCTAAGTTAGGCAGAAATAGAGTAGGCAGTCAGACAGGGCTGGGCCCCCAAAGGAGTCACACAAAAGATAAGAACCTGACAGAACTGTGGCTGAGGCACTTCTGAAGATTAAAGTCACAATGGCTAGTTACATTCTTCCTGAAGGGATGAAGAGAGGTTTGGGATTACTGACATCTCCCTTTTGAAATTTCCTATTATCCTATTAGGGGTGGGCCATTCTCGCACCTGCTAAGATTAAGACTGACACTAAAACTAAGCTTATAAAATGAAACACAAGGCCAGGAATACAGATTATGGATCAAGGTTAATGATATCACCCATGCACCCTTCCTATCATTAGATCAATATTAACTAAGCAACTACACTTGCAAGCTTGTTGGTTAATCATAATTTTGACCCACATTGTACCCACTTAATGATTTTGCTTTTCCTTTGAGAGTTGGGCTTACTGGCAACACATTCGGGACCACTCTTGTCCCTCAGGAGCTATTTCTATTCACCATTCCTTTCTTCCAATAAATTTTCCTATTCTTTTTTTTTTTAAATGTATTTAGTACAGGGTCTTACTACACATATTGGACCTGCCCAATTTTCCTATTCTTGACCTCCAGTGTTCCTTAGAACTCATTCTTTAACTTCAGCAAACATGAACTTAGCATATTTGACATCTAGCATTTCCCCTGTATTAATAAGTATACAGGCAAATATACTAGGCTTTTGTGTTTTCTTCTTGGCAGCCAGGAGAATTTTATTACTTTATGGGAGCTTTTATTTTTACTGAAATGGAAATAAATAGGACAATAGCTAGTAAAGAGGCAAATGTTGGGGCTCTTAGCAGAGGAATCCAAAAAGAACTTTTTTTTTTTTTAAAGACAATATCTCATTTATGTTGCCTACACTAGCTTCAACTTCACCTTAACAACCCAGCTTGATATGATCTTCTCACCTCAGGCTCTCAAGGATCTGAGATTACAGGCATGCATTACAGTGTCCAGCAGTTTCTCTTTATATATCAAGCAAATATCATCTTGAAATTGTTTTAATTTTAGAATATATTTTGTCTTTTAAAATTATAAGATAGTTTTAACATATCATTTATATTAATAAAAATCCAACATAAAAATCTGGCATTTCATGGATTTTAAGAGAGATCAACGTTGGCCGCAAGATGAAGGGAATCCCAGTTCTTCAGCAGCACACTATTAGTTACTACAACTGGTAACTTGAGAAATAACAGATTTTCTTTGTTAATGTTTCCTTGGTGATTGAACTATCTTAGAAAATACCGAAAAGAGAACTATATTCAGGAAAAAGGTTTTGATTTATTGCTTTGCAAATTTCTTCATTGATATCTCAACAAAGACAAGAGAGTCCACTGTTGTCCAAAGAGACTAGGACACACTGCAAAGCTTTTTTTTTTTTTTTTTTTTTTTGGTACCAGGAATAGAACTCATGACCTCATGCTTTACATGGCAGGACCTGTGCAGCTGAGCTATATCCCAAGCTCAGCAGAGTAATTCTGTGAAGCGCCCCCACTCTTTTTTTGAGACAGGGTTTCTTATGTAGTTCAAGCTGTCCTTGAACTCACTATGTAGCTCAGCCTAGCCTCAAATCTGCAGCAATCCTCTGCCATTACAGGTGTGTATCACCATACCTAGTGGTCTTTTGTTTTATCCTCAAACTTTATGTAAAATTTTCCTTTGACTTGATAATCTCAATGCCTATACACATATTATCACAACCCTGCCTCAAAACTATCCAAAATCTTTAAATAAAGTTGATACCAGAATACACTTTTACTTTTGCCATGCCTTTGAAACTCCTGCCACATGCAAACATATAATCACACTCACTCGGACATACCCAGCAGACTTCATTTTAAGAGACTCACTTTTCAGAAATTCTGATTTTGATGAATCTGACTGACTTTAAAAGTTGATGCATATAAAAATTTTATATGAAGGGTAATAGGTTAAGTGGAAAAAAGCTTGTCTTCTTGATTTGATATAACCATTACCACTTGAAACCTGCTCTGAACTTTGTGTAATGCACAATGAGAATGGCCCCATTTTCCTGTTTCTCATAGAAGTTCTATTCTTTTCATCTTTATTCAAAAAAATACTTGGTGATTTTACTTGGTAATGGTCTTAGTATTGCCTTTTTAAAGAATTTGCCAACCAAAATAAAAGAATTTGCCACTGAAATAAGCTACTATTCTCTTCTCTTTATTGTAAGAGAAACCCTCTTTTACTATTTCTCTCATTAACCCTTAGAAACAAAAATGGCAGACATTTAGATCTAGGTCAGTGCACTTTTTCTGTGCAGAAAGTTATGTTCCAAAACTGAAACTATTGGGCTGAGGAGATGGCTCAGTAGAATAAGCGCTTCCTTGGCAAGCGTAAGGGTCTGAGTTCAATCCCCGGTTCTGCCAAATAAATAAACAAACAAAACTGAAAATATTTACTGAACAAAATATTTGTTTGCTTAATGATATAGGTGCCTTACCTTTTGAGTGTAAGTTCTTGTATTTTTTTTTTTTTTTT